GACTACCGCGCTTTAAATTATGCATACCTGATTCACATGTAAGTCCACCCCATCTACAGCACATATACAATCATATCCGTTTACTTTGTCAATACAAGTGCCGCCATTTCTACAGGGACTAACAGCACAGTCGTCGACATCTAAGAAACAAACATTCGTTATAACAATTCATTCCATGTGCATTTCAAAATGTATTTCATTGTCATGACTACAAAAGTAGGTTATTGAGTATCAATATACACGATATGTACGCACCATACACTTCTATGGTGTAGTCATTTACATAATAATACACAACTTACTTGTTTGGCAATTTTTTCCCGTGTATCCCAACTGACATAAGCACTGATAATCATTGATAAGATCCGTACAAACACCACCATTTAAGCAAGGAAATTGTGCACAGTCGTGAATATCTGCAAAAACAAAATATCGAAGACGTGCTAGCTCAAACAACGAAATACTGTGGTTGAAGACGCAATAAGACAAAAGAGAACCAGTAACAAACCACGCCCACCTCTGATGATGCGCATTACACGGAATACTCACTTTCTTCACAATTGGTACCTGTAAAACCAGGCATACAAGTACAGTCATACCGTGATTGACCATCATTGCACGTGCCGCCGTTCTTACATGGATTGCTGTTACATTCGTTATAATCTAGTAATTGAAAAGAAGCGCATGTTAATGGGGCAATTTGAAGGAATACCCTGTAACAAAGTGACGAATGGTGTTAATTAGTTGGAAAAGTCCCACACTGTCAGGAGTTTTCGGAATTTAAAAATATGCAATTTAATGTGGCTCACCATCATTACAAACATCTCCGGAATATCCAGAAGGACAAATACAGAAAAATGAGTGGAAGTAGTTGGAACAGGTTCCACCATTTTGACAAGGATTACTTGAGCATGCGTTAACATCTGAAAGTAGTAAGAAAAAAAAAATATAAAAAAATATCATCATAACTTGTTTATTATGGCTGAAATTACTTTGCACTTTGTAAACAACATTACGTAAATATTACCACATCTATATTTACACTATATTTGCATATTGTTCAAAAACAAATCGAAGGTGTTTGATTGCATCCATGCAAGCAAACTGAACACAAAAATCAAACTAAGCATGGGTAATATTCAACAATACACAGGTATGCCACATAGAAAAAAAACTTACCAGTCTGACAAGTCGTTCCAGTGTATCGTTTATCGCAGGTACAAGTAAAACCATTAGCACTCATTTGACATGTGCCGCCATTTTGACAGGGTAAACTGACGCATGGATCAATCACTGAAAAGAGTAATTGGTAAATTTTGTTTAAAAACATAAACAAAGAATGGAAAAAGATAATGCGTGTATACGTTCAAGGCGTTACATATGGAGAATTAAGCAGTGTCTAACAACGTCTGAATTGATAGTCTTACCCGTTTCACAATTGATTCCGCCATAGCCACTAAGACAGTCGCATTGATAATACACCGACAAATTAATACACGCTCCATTATTCTGGCAAGGATTACTGGTGCACGGATTCTTACCTTAGAAGAGAGCAAACAGGAGATATCAACTATTATGCAACAACAACACTGCACGAGTTATAAAAGTAGTGACTGTGCATTTAACAAACAATAAATGAACTAAACTTACGGGTCTCGCAAAACTCTCCTTCAAAGCTCGTGCCACAATTACAGTGATAAACACCGCCTCCGTCGTTAATGCATGTGCCCTGGTTTCGACATGGAACGTTAGTACAAGGATCGCGCTCTGTTGGGGAAAAAGAAAACAAGTCTAATAACTACTGCCTACAGCACATATTACATTCTTGTAGTAAATTATTGCATTCATACCGGTAATACAAGACCAATAAATACATATTGACACGTATCATGCGGACCAGTTGTTGTTATTTGTGTAGACATAATTAGCTGTGAATTGTTCAGTATTTTTCAGTATCTACTAACCTATTTCGCAGTTTGTTCCATAGTAGTAGGGTGTGCATGCGCAGGAATAACTATACACATAGTTTGTACATGTGGAGCCATGGAGACAAGGATCACTTAGACAAGGATTGATTTCTGTATTAATTGAGCAAAACTGAGATTGTGAATGTGTTTAAATACGTGTTATACATAACAAAGATGAATGTGATGACAGTAATGTTTCGAATATTATTTAAATAATTTTCTGCATTAGATAAAAAGTTACATGGTTATACACATTGACGAAAACACGTGTACTCACCCATCTCACAATTGGTGCCACTGTATCCATAGACGCACAGACACGTGTACACGCCGCTGCCCTGATTGGTACATGTTGCTCCATTTTGACAAGGGTTGTTCTTATTGCACACATTGACTACAAAAACATAAACCAGAAAGTCATTCACTATGCGGTTCAGTTAAACGGTTGGTAATTTTGACAATTTAGGTTTGAATGTCAAACACCACCATTTATAGCGTATTTGTTTAGTTTGTTGTCGTGACAGATCTTTCAATCATGCAAACATATAACACGTACTCTCAACGAAATGACCGTTATTGATAAAATTACACAGGTTTAAATATCTAGAGAACCAATCTTCGTCAATGTAAGTTCCCATATATAAAATTCACTGATCGAAAGAGATTATGTAGTATTTAATTTAATGTGACGATGTACGTTATCTGCAACAACACTAACATTATTTTTGAATTATCTGTCAGTCAGGTAAAAAACGTGCACGATATACCAAGTTTGTGTTTTAATAACCAAATCGTCGTTGATCCCAGCACAACAAAGTAACTTTATTTTACCTGGGATAACGTCACAAGTGGTTCCACTATATCCACTCAGACACTGGCAATAGAAGGCAGTACTAGACTGTTTGATGCAGGTACCGCCATGCAAGCACGGGTTGATTGGTGAGCAGGGATCTGCAAATAAAATACACATATACCAGATTCAAAATTAAGACTAAAGTCTATAGCGCCCTCTAGCATTTGTAGGGAATCATCTTATTTGGAACTCTGGGTGGAAGTGTAATTTAGACTTTTATTGATCAGGGCATTTTTAAAATGACGGGGTTTAACTCCCTTAAAGGAATGACCAGTTGTCCCTCCATAAGATAAAATAAAGATGGTGGAGTAAAGCGTTGATTCGTCCCGTTCTACTATGAATTACTTTGAGAAATTATAGATCATAGAAAGTTAGTATGCCTGATATTTGTTTTGTTAGGTTTTTGACTTTTCCACTGTGTGGCCATTCCTTGCTTTGCATATTGACTGTATCAGTGTGCTTTCGGGTTTTTTATGTAAGCCGTAATATCTGTTCAGGGCACTGGAGCTGGTATTTTGCAATGCTTCAGTCAATCTCTTGACTACTAATCTCCTTTTTGGGCGATATGTGACAGGTGTGGCATATTTAAGATGGCATATTCACTGGCTTCGTACATACAGGTTTGACTGTTTTGGTAGATACTTAGCGGATCTCAGTGCCGCACACTATAGATTGGGGAGTCAAGCCTGACATTTGATCAATGTGAAAAGCAAACCGGACAGTTAAATAGCTCTGCTGTTTCAGCAGATATTATGCGGAGGACGGACAATCACCCTATAACAAAAATAAGCACCCTCTACTCACCCAACTAAGAATTAAATTACTGTTTACTATAACTATAAGACATCCTTTGATGGTTTCATGTTTCCGATTGTCAATAATTTATTTTTTATAGTGTCAAAGTGGTATTCTCCCTCGAAACTTTGTTTTCTTTGTCAGTGTTTATTATGAATGATCTCTAGATTAACACAGTGAAAATGCAAAGGATTCTCGAAATGAGAAATAACCGCCAAACCATATTACCAATAAAAGTGTTTTATTCAAGTTACGTGAACCTGTTTATAATTCCTGTGTGGTGAAGAGGGGAGATGTCGACTGAGGTTGCTCCTAATTATTTGGAGAAATTTTCAATTCGTGGTATGTGATTGGGTGTTTGTATAGACTAAATCAATCGCATGTAAATACCCTGTAATGTAAAGCCAAATAATAATAACGTGATGTTGACGTGCACATTAAATATAATAACAACATAGCAATCAATTAGTTTCATGAATAAGTGTTTAATGCTACAAAAAATACGTATCCAAGAAATCTAAACTAAAATAAGTTGGAATGCGTGCTTCTTCATCTAAACTCGGATTAACACTAAATTAAAACGTACCTGGTGTGATTTCGCACCGCGTTCCAGAATATCCAGTTACACAGTTGCAATAAAATCCATCCACCACAGTATTACATGTCCCACCATACAAGCATGGACCACTGCTACATGCATCAAACGCTACAAAAAAATGTAATCGAATGCTAAATACAAATAACACGTGCAAGTGAAATAATATTGTTGTATTATTAATGTTTTGCGAAATTAATCAATAACAATAATACATAGTAAATGTTTTGATTTTGAGTTTTCATTCTTCGAAATAGGCTTGTATCTTCTTTATTTCTTCATCACAAACTGTACAATAATATTGCTTATTATTTTCGTGATTGAATAAACGTGGGTTCATCACAAACGTGTTTCAACAACATAATTTTCAGAGGCTCTTGATATTTCAGCACCGAATGCATTGAAAGAATGTCTACCTATGAAACATGTGAATTATAGGTCAACAGTTCAATTATATTGACATTGTAGATACAGTACAATTACATTAGTAAAATACTTACTGCCCAAATGTTCGCAATTGTATCCGGTATATTGACTGGGACACTGGCATATGTAAGCATTACCACTGGGCGAACACGTGCCACCATTAATACAAGGGTTAGGGAAGCAAGCTACGGCTAGAAATTCAAGTGAGACCAGTTTGGGTGCAAACATAACAGTTAACACATTCACGCATAGTTATTGCAAATGCTAGTATTTATAATGAACCTGAGTGAACGCCATGTGGTGAGTATGTGTAATTATGAGTGCTACGTCATTTTCGGTTATGATTACCAGTGCAACCCTCACCTCCGTGCAGTCAATATTGATAGTGCTCATAGCATTAAAAAGTGTGTATGAATATGTTATAAGAACTTTTGCAACAACTTCACATTACGTGCATCAATATATAATACCAAAGATTGGCAACATAGAAAGATTTGTAGGGTCACATACAACTGATTGCAAAACATGCGTTTTCATCAGTATCATACATGTATGATACGTTGATAAGTGTAAACATCATTGACGTTGTGAACGCATACCACAGCACCCAATATTTTAACTTACTCGAAGTCTGGCACTGTGTTCCTGTATATCCGCTTACACAATAGCACGTGTAGCCTGAACTACTCGGTATACAAGTCCCGCCGTTATAACAAGTATTCGCTGTACACTGCGACACGACTACAAACACAAACAAAAATATCCATTTAAGTTGTAAATAATACACAGTGATGTACAAGCTGTGAGAGAAAACGTATTACTGCAGTGCAAATAAATGTGCATATATGTGTTGTTGCTTTTTTTTTTTTGCCAACAGAAAATTATAAAACATTTCCTTGAATACTTTCTTCCTGTTATTGTACCTTGTTCAGTGTAAAATGCTGGTACGCGCGGCCACGTAAACACGATAACTGGTCTCGGTGCCAAATTCGATTAGCTCATGAAAATCACATACATTACTATACACTGATCATCAACACCATAATAGTCATTGCTGGTTTTATATATTTTATTTCATTTAATTGTTACATATACATCGTTTAGTTATAGCAGCAACATTCATAGACATTTTCTGGTTGCATAACTTCAATCGCCAAGGTAAAATTTAAGTCATCCAGTGTTAGGAAAAACAATTAAAAGGAGCATGCATATTTTAATGACTGACAATCCTCTTTAAAAGTATCCAACATGTTTGTGCTTAATTTAGTATGTGTATATATATGATTTATAAATACATACTGGAATGGTGTAATGTTAATGATACGCTATGAATAGTGAATTTACTACTAGTCTGAATGCATCTGACAATTACTGCTTCACACGTGATAAAGCGGGGAGAGTCGTCACCTGCGCATGCGTCAGATGGCCATGGCGCGTCATTGTTTACAAACAAGCGTCGACCTATGATCCTTTGCGTTTTTAGTATGTTTTATCATCGCTTCGGACTAAATTCCCGCGCGTGCGCAGGCGAAGACCCTCCAGCTTTAAGTAGACGCTATGCTATGTATAGAAAGCAACGGCAAAATCAGCACACAACTTACACGTACTACATCGATCACCGCTGTAGCCGATTGGGCAATTGCAAATAAAAGTGAAACTTCCTGTCGGTATGCATGTGCCACCGTTAAAGCACGATGTAGAGGTACACGCAGATACAGCTACTCAGATAAAAACAAAAGTAAAACGAAAAAAAATAAAACATATAGATAACGCAATACACCAAAGCACATAGCTAAAATAATATGCTCGCGTGTATCGTACCATAGCGTTGTGTTGCTCATTATATCCTTTATGGGTGATCCAATCCGTATTTCAGCAATGAATCTTTTCTTTTTATGTGATAATTAAATGCACATATAGACTTGTACTGCCATTTCTATTATGGTATAATAATTTCGTTACCTGTTTCGCAGTTGGTTCCCGTATATCCACTGCCGCAATTGCACATGTAATTTGTTGTCGACATTCTCACACATGTACCTCCATTTTGGCACGGAAAAGTGCCACATACGTCTAAAAATGAAGCAGGGTATTACATGTTTGTATACAAATAAGGCAATTCGAGGAAAGAGATTAGAGACACATTTTTGGGTTAAGAGCGCGAATTTACTCTCCATGATCGAATTGCAAACAAATGTTTAATTGACTCATGGCTTACTTTATTGATTTTGGTCAGGTATTGGTCATTTTACAGTAACACGTGTCACATTATAAAGATAGATATTAAACAAATATTAAATCAAAAAAATAAAGAAAACTGTATTGATACTTAATGACAACAAATACATTATCCAAATCTTTGTTTGTTCATAGCAAACCCATTATCCCGAGATATGTCGTGACATTTAAAGAGAGAGCGAGCTTGTACGCACGCAAATGTCCCGAGATATCAAGAATAAACTCGTGGTGAAACAACTGGGCCAGAATCTGTTCCAAGTCAGTGTACTGCGCGATTTCTCGTAAATTGTACGACGTTACCAATAAACTACATTAAAAGTTAACACTCCCCTCCAACCACCAAGCGGGGATATGACGGTTGGTGTAAAATTGTGAACATTGTGCGTCTCTCCTATTCCCCTGGGGTGTGTGTGTTTGGCTGGTGCATACTATCTTGCAAATGACTACTTTTAAAAAATGGTTGGTTCCGAAACGATGAGGCCAATGTCAACAACGCAACAAATAAGCATTTTATTGCAGAGAGGGAATGAAATTAAAAGCGTTTACCGGTCTGACAGCTGGACCCAGAGTATCCGGTGAGACAGTTACAGTAGTATCCAGTAGTGCCCGATGACGGTGTACACGTACCACCGTTCAGACACGGGTTAGTGTTACAGACATCTAAAATGTAAATAAAACATTGAATACAAAATCAATATCCCAACGAGTATTGGTATATTTCGATAATGGCAGTAAGAATAGTCTAACACTAACTGAGCCTTGGACAGTTGAACTTTAAAAACCCAATTCATATTATATTAAATATTTTTCATTTGTAACTACGAGAACACATAATATAAAAACAAAAATAATCAAGATTGATCATAGACTATTGGATATTTTACAATGCAGAGAGCACTTACAATTTTCACAGCGAGTTCCAGTATATCCAAGCGCACATAAACATGTATATGTGGAACCATTTGGGATGCACGTACCGCCGTTAAAACAAGTACTCGCTGTACACGATGATACGACTGTTTAACGTAAATCAAGATATGTTGTACGTATAAGTAATATGAAACGTGACAAGGAAATCGACGCTTTGGACAAGCACTGCTGCAATCATGTATCACATTATACTAGTAGTGTGGAAGGGCCGATGGTGCACTGCACACATACTTACACATGCAAAAAGACAGTGACTGTAATCGAGTTTCTTATGTTATTGTGGTTGCTAAGAAATACGTGATTAAACGATATTAAAACGCCTCACAATGCAAGATGATCGGCCACGACAGACGAGGACAATCGCATAATTTAAAATGCACTATCGCCACATACCTGAGACCGATAGCGCTCCAATATGTCAGGTTAACTCCCGAACGCCGTTATATACTTTCAGATTGAATTTTTAGATAACTAAGTTTTGCGATGTAACATCAGTAATATAATGAATTGGATTACTTTTATGTTCTTCAAATAGAACCGACAAAGTCTGAATATTTTAAGTTCACTGAACAAGGAATGACACTTGGAATTATATGGGCAGTACATAGTCCTTTATTTCAAATATAATACCGCAAAATGTCTAAACATTGATGCGTACATCTTGAACTATCGCCATCAAACGGAAATAAATCCATAAATAATTTTCCAGATGAAAGGAGAAAAAAATATCTGAAGGTGAACGTATAATTGTGCGATTGTCTTTTAAGCGATCTGTACACCTGTGTGAAATCATTTGATTTTGTTGATCCACATATAATTTTGTTCGGAAAGTTTGTTTTTTTTAGGGGGGGGGGGGGTCTGATGCACGTGGCGCCAACCAGCAAGTGAGAACAACGTACTTCATTGTACTACGCGATAGTTAACACGCGTGTGGGATATGCAAATTAACATACATGTCTGCGTCTTGTATGCATTATCACACATTACGTGCGTATCGAAGCTCGGTGTACATGCGGATTACTCAACAAACAGTATTATTGTTAATATATTTCTGTACACTAATTTGTTATGTACACCCACATAGTACATTTGTCACGGCTAACAACCTCGTAGTAGAAAATTGCAGTGATTAAGTCAAATTAAAAGAACATAATTTATATAATAAATATTTACATTTATATTTTCTTATATGGAGAGAAATTGACATATGTGAAATAGTTAGGTGATATATTATAAATACATACCGGTACCTATGTAGTGAGTCTATTTTAAGGGTAGGTGAGAATAGTGAACAGAGTAACTATCATAGTACGGTGCATCAATCAGATAGCTACTGAGGAACACGCTAAGTACACGCTATGCTACTATAGAAAGCAACGGCAAAAACAGCACACAACTTACACGTACTACATCGATCACCGCTGTAGCCGGTTGGGCAATTGCAAATAAAAGTGAAACTTCCTGTCGGTATGCATGTGCCACCGTTAAAGCACGATGTAGAGGTACACGCAGATACAGCTACTCAGATATAAATATAAGAAAACGAAAAAAAAATATGGAAATGCTACACCACTGTACATATCAATAATGTGCCCCAGTGACGGATATTGCACGTATGGCGTAAGTTTGTATTTTAATGAATTAATTGCGATGAAGAAATTCGTTGTAACGTAATATTTTAGGATTTATCATCGCCCCATGTTATATTTAATAACACCTATTCTACGATATATATGGTAAAATAATTTCGTTACCTGTTTGGCAGTTGGTTCCTGTATATCCAGTGACGCAATTACACATGTAAGTTGTTGCTGATGTTCGCACACATGTACCACCATTCTGACAAGTAAAAGCACCACATGCGTCTAGAATTAAAACCATAAGCAGAATACCGCTGTGAGTATCTGTAACTAGTGTCTACGCCTCCAATGCACGATAGAATGGTATACAATTCAGATAGAACAAACAAATAAACAGAAAAAATAAGGGATTCACCCAATTGTTTCGGCCATACGTTTATTTTCTTTGTCGATTGGATACTTCTATTGTAAATCTCGCATAAATTGTATTTCTACATTGTTTTACTTATTAGTGTAAATTGGCCACACTTTGCAACAGAGCCAAGATGCAGGATACGAGGTCAGAGGTCAGATATTTTTCAACTATTAAGAAAGATGGTGAAGGATGTTGTGGACTGTGTTGAATGGGTGGGAATTAAGGTATTCCAATTATGTATTCAAATGACAAAGGGTACAATGATTGTTTTAGATTTGTAGTTGGACCAGACGCTCGTTCAAAAATTTTCTCATGTTTGTCGGTAAGTGTATATTAGTCGTGTGTTTACATTGGGGATAGCCTCGTGTTGATTCTATCCACAACAGTATGGTATAAAGTATTAATTATAGTAACACCTACCCTAAACATATAATTATCTAGTATTAGATATGTCAATCAAATATATTTAACTATTCAGTATAGATAGTGGTCAACATCGAAGCAAATCATACTTGGTTCCGAGATATTAGATTTCTGGATAGAAATAAATATTTTAAGAAACCTCACCGGTCTGACAATTTGTTCCAGAGAATCCAAAAGCACAGCTACAGAAATATCCAGTTGACGTTGTTGATGAGGCAGTACATGTACCTCCGTTCAGACATGGCGAGGCAAAACAAGCATCTGGAATACGATTAAAAGATGGTATAAATATACAATTTACAAGCATTGGTCACATTAGTATTATCACACAGAAGGGTATACGCAAGGGGTCCCTTCAGTCTAACTTACCAGGGCCAGAGGCATAAGTGAGATCAACGTCAAGGCCACGGAATGACCTTGTAGCTGAAGGTCACTATGCTGCCCAGAGGATGAAGGTCACTATGCTGCCCAGAGGATGAAGGTCACTGTGCCAAGGCCGTGTGTGGCCGTGAAGGTGACCGAGTAAGTGAGGGGTAGCCTGGAGAGTGGCTACTGAGAAACTGAATGGGGGGCAGGATGAAATCCTTGGCCCAAACTGAGAGAATGGCAAGTATGTCATGACTGAAGTGACCCCTATACGTACAGCATTAATATTCAGTGATTGGTTAGAATCTCAATAAAAAAAGCCTAAGCAGTAAGGGGCGAGGATACGGATACATTTACAAGGATTTCAGTGTCAGTCTATCAATGGCTTGACAAAAATGCACAGAATAAAATGCATAGCAAATTTATTAATGGAGACAATTCACCGATAATAAAACATTTAGGTGAGTATTTAAACAGTAGTCTGTAAATTACAAACATGTTTCACTATTGACAAAACCACGTTTAGTGATTTTCTGGAAATGACACATTTTTAAACATTAAAAACGTGCAATATGGCGGATTACTACTATCACTCCTACATAACCACGATCAATTATATGGCATTGATAGAGTTCAGATATGGTAACGTTTTGCGGGCTACAAAGCGAGTTATTTATTGAAAATAATAAAATAAATTGTTTTCACAAAAACATACATTATAGCCAGATTTGAGAATAATGGCCCAGTAATCCCTGTAGATTCGGACTATGAATGATGTCCGCCATCAACGTATCCTAGCCCTTGAACACTGTGCAATTATTATATGTGTGCGTTTAATGTCATGAGTAATCACATACATTAGAACATAAACCTGCAAAGCCTCGTCCTTTATAATGTTATATTATGCAGACTTCTAAACCATGCACGACTGTGCAATGTTATGATACGAATATGGTAATGTAAATATATCATCAAGCACAAGCAAGACATGAGTACTGCAAGTTTAAACTTTATGTCCCAGCAAGCCCGGCGTACCAGTTCATATATTCGCATTTAGAATTGCTTTGGCTAAATGGCTAAATGATACAAACCGAAGGTTGTACAAGTCTGTCCTGTGTATCCGGGATCACAGAGACAGTAAAAGTCAATCCCACTGGAGCCGGTGAAGCAGGTTCCGTTGTTTGAGCATGGGTTCGTTTGGCAAGTGTCTGCATGTACAAAGATGCATGTTGTATAATGAGCGCTGTATATCGCGACTGCACGAGTATAGCAATCAATACACGAGAGTGGATTCATGCGCAAACTTTTCATGCGCAAGCTTGCTTGATAAGGTAGAAGTTTCATATGCAATGTCAATAAAGTTCACGAATAATTATTCCCTTTGTTAAAACAAGTTTAATTTTTCGATATATATTGTCAACGCCAGCAAAGTCAGCACTATTACTTTACAACACAATGCTCAAATAAGTTAAGCAAGCCAACTTCATATTAGCTTTCCTAAATATCACGAATTCAGTTATCAACTATAATGACGGTAATTACAACAATGGCAAACATGACACGATGGTGTCATAGAATACGTTGCCATTTGAATTTACCGCAAACACGTTACCTCAATTCATCAGAAATCCTACCTGGTGCTATTGGAGTTTCACAGAGAGTGCCAGTGTATTCACCGTTACAAATACAGTAATAGTTTGAACCGTCGCCAGCTGTGAAACACTGGGCCTCGTTAAGACAAGGATTGGGAGAGCAGGGATTAACTGGAATGGAATGTCAAGGAAGTGTGTCACAATAATCACATAGAATTTATCCAGTGAACAATAGAAATGTTAACTATGGCCAAGACCCAACGGAGTGTGCCAGAGTGGATTTAGATAGCGTAAGCAGCAAAAGACGAAGCAATAGTGCATTGACCTTACATGTGGAGTTATTGAAAGACTGTGAGCCCTGTACCTTACATTTTACTGGTAGCCACGTGACTACCTATATTTTCAATACAGGTATATTAGTTAAAAAGCTGAAAGTGCTGTACCTTAAAATGCACTGAAGGATGTCTTTGCACATGTTAATCAAAATGAAATTGTTATATTTTACAGAATCTGTAAGAGCCCTATCATATATGGAACATTGGTCAAAATTAAAAACCCACATTGTTATGATGACTCTATTTGAATATTCTATGTATTTGAAATAATAAATCACAGTCAAATATGAAATAGTTTCAACAAATATTTAGATGTTTACCTATCATCTACAATTTACTAGGCGCCAAAATATTAGAAGATTTCATGACCATTTCATGACGATCATCTATTCATATGCAAATATCGTATAGGAAGCGTATATCAGTGTGTTAAATCTGTCGTCATCATAATGATCAATCAAATGATTACTACGGATGTTTTCAACTTTTTCCCAGAAATTGTAGATATATATGATCATAACAGACAACGATTTTTCGCCAAATTCACGCATTCTTGAGAATGCAATTACAATTTTCTGGGAAAAATGCAAAACAAAATTTTAAAATTTAAAAGTTAATAGGTTATCCAACATTTCTGTGAATTGTGTTATTCTAAAATTTCAATAAAACAAATGTGGTATTCCTTTCTCTTTCTTCACTGTACTCCTTTGAACTCATGACCACATGGAGATTCTAACTAACTCAACATCGATTTTTGACTAGTGTGAATTATGAACTTTCATAAAATATATATTTTGATATGAATTTAAAATAATTATTCCCTGAAAATAATTTAGTGTGAATTTTACTTGACAATTTCTACTACATCTTTAAAACGTATCTAGTGCATTTCGTTTTTTCCTCATAGTATTGTTATACTATAAATGTCCTACTTTTATACGTAATTTCTCTTCAATTGTGAGGAGATATGTACATAATGCGGGACATTAAAGATATTATACTGGCCACGTTTTACTGTGCTCAGATGAAACAACGCCAAGGTTAGGGTCGACCTCCGAGCTCACAGAACTGTCGATTTAACATACACTAAGCTATCCTCGAACTATGTCGGTCATTGACTTTTGGGCTATTTCATTCTATGATTGAGACAAGATTGTGTCTGATTAGCTACCAACACCACAAAACAGTCCGACCAATCAGAGAGCAGCTTGCTTGCTTGCTTTTTCGACGTATAAAATTCAGCTTTATATATATGCTTCGACTCAACTGACGTGTTTCGTGTTAAATCATGAATATTCATAAGCCGATTCATTATGTTGATCTTGAGTTTACGGTCCACCTACCCAGCATTTTATCTCTGATCGTACGTCACATCGTTGAAGAGTTTGAGTAAGAGGATTTATCCTATACTTAAATAAGAAACTTAAATAAGAACGTGCGTGCACACCTTTACCACGCCGGTGAATTAAATCTAGTGCAACAAAGCAAGATGTACATCACCTTGCCGTACAGAAACCTGGGCGAGCAGTGTCATTACCTGTACAGCCATATTATTACACCAGCACATGTATGTTTCGAAGATTGGCATGAACCGCTATACATATCAAAGCATGGTTTCGATGCTATTTTAAACTGTCATACAACAGTACACTATGTATATGATGTAAAACACAGGGCTATTTTTTATTATAAATTAGTTAATTGTATAATTATTAGTGAAATTATAATAAAAGCTTGTGAGAAACTGGTGAACCTGTCTGTTGTAAACGTTGTTGTACATCCTGTTTTAAATAAATAAATAAACAAACGACAGCCAGGACTTGTTATTGTACAACAACAATATTTATACTAGTACTTAGTAAAAATATTCTTATTCGGATACATATTATTTATCTCATGGCGACATTGTTGATGTGCGTAGGATACATAGTACATAGTATTTGCTTCACGTGACGCGTGTCGTAGTTCACAAATAGGGGAGCAAATATGACAACAATAAAAGTGTATCTTACCCAACATTTCACATCTAGATCCTGTATAACCAGTACCACTACATTGACAGAAGTAGGCTGTATTAGAATTGGTCGCGAAACACTGTCCACTATTCAGACAAGGGTTGGAGTCGCACGGATTTGAAGGTACTGAAAATGAGAATAACGTTATACAAATTACATACAACTTTAAGACATGCGCCTGTTATTCAACCACACTTGTACACATTCCATACACATATCAATACAAACTGACGGACGATCCTTCATTTGCTATTCGTTCTTTGAAATGGCGGTATACATTTTATTCAACGATGCTAAACTTTACATAGTAGTACAGTGTACATTTAGGAGTACTGACTTTACATGATAATAGTAATTTGACTTAACATGCTTACAATAAACATTTGACCTTACATGCTAACATAAGACATTTGACCTTACATGCTTACAATAAACATTTGACCTTACCGGGAGGGTTTTCACATCGATCTCCATAGTATCCATTCACACATGTACACGTGTAGCCGCCAGTATTCTGAGCACACGCGCCTCCATACAGACAGGGATTAGAAACACACGGGTCTGGAACTAAAATGTTAAACTGCTTAAAATGTATTCAAATTGAAAACAGTTTGGTAGGTTCGGCAATGCTTCTACCTGACTACTACTACTACCGCCAACAACAACAACAACAACCACCACCACCACCACCACCACCACCACACTGCTCAGGTATACTACCATCCACACCACTTGTTATTATAACTACCAATATCCCCTCCCCGTCCAACAATGGTGGCAAGCACAAAAAGGACATAAAATATAAAAAGTAGCACAATGTTTTAGTTTAACATTCTGCAATGTCGATTTGAAGGCATTGTTCTAACAAATTAACCAAAGAATTCGTGAAACTAACAATAATTCTTCATCGGTAGAAATGAGGATTATATCAAATAAACACGCTCAACATTGTACACATGAATAAATTTACATATGCACATACGTTTAATATATATTTAAATATGGGTGTACGTCATGCGAGTTTTGCTCTATAGAAAAAAACACTGAGAAGTGCCAACTTGAACCATGCACATACCAACAAAAGTTTGACAGATGACCCCAGTCCATGCCGATGTGCAGCCACAAATATACCCATTACCATCTTGACTAGTAAAACAAGTCCCGCCATTCATACAAGGGTTAGGTGAACATGTTTGAGATACTGGATGTGAGAAAAAGAAATATTTTAGAAGACAGCAGTAGTTTGAAATATCATGCTTTGTATGAAGGAGATCCCGAATATTATATAACGTGGAATGCGTATGGATATTGTCTGAAGCATATGATAAATTCCCATGGCAATGACACAGTAGTGGAATAGTAGCAGACATTTGACTGTCAGTGCGCTGAATGATGCTAGGTAGAAAAGAATGTGATCAGTAGTGTATGCAGTGAATATAATCTTCGCAAGGTCACCGCGTCTGTAATTCAAGTGTTATCAAGGACAGGCAATCATGAATACGCATGCAATTGTTGTATGTACACACAGTTACGACAATTCACTCTAACAGTTGTAAAGACATGCTGCTTGCAGTGAGAAATGAAAGTAAATGGGTCACCATCACTGATTGGGGATATAAATATGGAACATGGATGCTCGGATTGTAAGGCAAGATCGGTTTTCTGTGAAGAGATTACATGCAGATTTCCCAATTGGTCAAATGCGGTTTAAACAAAATAATCAACACGGTAATTAAACTAGCTATATGAAAATATGAAATCAGATTAAAGATTGTAAACCAGCATGCATGGTGGGTATCACTTACAAAAAGTGTGCATTTTTTTCAAATTAGGCGGTAATGTTTTATATTAGTATTCATGTTAAAACAACGTAGTGCATGAATGCCCGATGTAATGGAAAACTAACATTTTTGCAAATTGAATTTTTATTCATTACAAATAATACAAAGATTAGCATACACTAATAAGAATGAAATTTATGTGAATTCTTGATCACGTCGTATCTTGTCAATATACGTCATCTTAACAACATATTTATCTACCATATCACCACAAAAAATTCTTAGAACAATCTGTAAATTGTGATAATAGCACACTGACGCGTGGCCCATGCATATTAGTTTAGTTGATACTTGGATATTTATTTGTAGAGAACTATGCCGTGTAATCGACACACCTGGTTCAAGCTAACACCACTACTTTAGATTGCGAGTGAAAATGGAAATAAGACACCGCGAAAGAGATGACACATATTGTATTTACAAGGTGTTTGGCAGAAATGAGAAAAGAAATCAACGTCATGCACTATAAAACCACCATTATTCACACGATTATATTCAGACAGGTGGTCATATTAATCTACATCAATGCCATTAATAGTATCTTTATTCTATGCACGTAAACAATTGTTCAGCAATGTTCGCTGTGTAATTAAGCATGTAATATTCGTTCACGTACTATAGAATGTCTGCATCCAATTTAAATTAATAGTTTGTCGCATTGGGAGGACTGTTTTTTTAATGAACGACCCATGCTAACTCAATTAGAACTGCTTCTTAGAATGGATAATGCTAGCTATATGTTACTCATAAAAACATGCCACCAGTCAAACTACCATCTGACCAAGCAACATACCGGTACCATCGTCGCACGTTAGGCTGGTTGTGTCGTCAACACACAAACATGTATAAGTAAGGCCATTTGACGATTCCAAGCACAGTCCAGTTCCAATACCTTCACAGGGATTAGACGCACATGGTCCTGAATCTTTGATAATAAAGAAATTATTTTTCGAATTATACTCAAATATTGGGGGGGGGGGGGGTTGTTTCTACATTCATTTTGGCCACATCACCTGACAAGAAATGAAACTGTTGTTGTCCAACAATTGCTGACACAATTCTTGAAATGAATATCCTAGATGTAAAATCAAATTTATTAATGAATTGTGTTATGTATGAAAACAGACATATTTCCTGTTGGTACATCACTCGTGATAGACTGACTGTATAATAATATATGTGTAATACTCAGTGATTAGAAGGACAACACTGACTTCGACCATATGACTTGACATATGACATATGAAAATATCTGAAGACGTTGTTTTCAAAAAAATCGAAGTTAGGATGCTGTATGTTGAAGACAAATATATGTTCATTCAGAACCACGTTTTCCACAAGACCACAAACTGTGGATCAGTCACGGTGTAATAGACATTATATTCATATAGCTTGTACGCGAGCGTGCGTGCGACTCTGCTATAAATGTACATATGAATATTATATAACCTACTTGGTGGGTTGTAGATTTCACAGTTTGTTCCTGTGTAATACTGCGGACAAGCACACGTATAGGCTGTGTTCGATAACGTGTTTGTACAGCCTCCATTATTTCTGCAAGGATTGCTTGCACATGGTTGAACAGCGCCACCTACGTAATCGAAACAGAGTGGCAAAGTTGGTTGATAATGTGATTTCATGTTATAACATCCGATACTCGCATACTGCAGTTATCCACAATCCTATGCGATTCGTAGAATCAGACATTGGTAAGAAAATTGTTGCCAGCATATGTGGTGATAGTTCATGTATACTGAAAACGCGCTGTTTAAAATTATTACTTTGTTTTTAAAACAGATGATGAGTTAATGTGTTAGCAGTAGCGATGTGTGTGCAAAACTTAGAAATGATAAACACTTGTATTGACGATTTGCATTATTTTAGAATCTATATCAATTGTCTTTCTTTGATATTTTGATATATAAATATACAAGCAGCCTGTCGACTAAGATAGCTCCGCTGATAGCAATGCACATTTCAATTAAAGAACTGAGGATATCATTAGAAAATAAACAGTCAGACTTTCTGTTTTCAACAAGAACTCGAAAATATCACTATTTACCAAAAATGACAAAAATATTCATCAAAATTAGAGATTTGAAGATATCACCACGAAATGAACAAATCTTAGAGAGGTCCACATGTAGTACCTATATATGTAATATCAAAGTAATCGGAGTTGTAGTTTTTAACAAGTCGAAAATATCACTTTTTACCAAAAATATTCATCAAAATTTAAAGAATTGAAGATATCATCATGATATGACCAAATCTTGTAGTACCTATATATGTAATATCAAAGCAATCGGAGTTGCGTTTTTTTACCAAAAAGTCGAAAATATCATTTTTTTTCAAAAATGACAAAAATATTCATCAAAATTAGAAAATTGAAGATACCATTATGAAATGAACAAATCTGAGAGAAGTCCACATGTAGTACCAATATATGTAATATCAAAGCAATTGGACTTGTGTTTTTTACCAAGAAGTCGAAAATATTATTTATCAAAAATGACAAAAATATTCTTTTAAATTAGAGAATTGAAGATATCATCATGAAATGAACAAACCTAAGAGAGGTCTACCCAAGGTACATATACACCAAGTATCAAAGCATTCAGGCTTGTAGTTTTCAAGAAGAAGACGAACAAGTAAAACATTGATACGGACCGACGTAGTAGTACTTGTATATATCAAAGCAATCGGAGTTGCGTTTTTTTACCAAAAAGTCGAAAATATCATTTATCAAAAATGACAAAAATATTCTTTTAAATTAGAGAATTGAAGATATCATCATGAAATGAACAAACCTAAGAGAGGTCTACCCAAGGTACATATACACCAAGTATCAAAGCATTCAGGCTTGTAGTTTTCAAGAAGAAGACGAACAAGTAAAACATTGATACGGACCGACGTAGTAGTACTTGTATATATCAAAGCAATCGGAGTTGCGTTTTTTTACCAAAAAGTCGAAAATATCATTTATCAAAAATGACAAAAATATTCTTTTAAATTAGAGAATTGAAGATATCATCATGAAATGAACAAACCTAAGAGAGGTCTACCCAAGGTACATATACACCAAGTATCAAAGCATTCAGGCTTGTAGTTTTCAAGAAGACGAAAAAGTAAAACATTGACACGGACGACGGACAATTACTCATATAATAAGCTCCGCTCGACAAAGTCGACAGCGGAGCTAATAAGAAACAACATTTAACAAATAAAAACAAATTACTTGAGTCTATGATAAGGTTTAAATAATATGTAAATACACAGCAAAAACAATATCCAATATTACAAACCATTACTAGAACACCTCGTATCGATCACTGTGGATACTAGATCCTGATTGGCGAGATGGCGGTTTACAATTAATTCACACCAAAAAGAATTCGATCCGCACCAATGCAACAATGAACACAGTCATGGGTTTATTTCCTGGTCTTAAATTATAGTTCAATTCTACTGAGTGAGCAGGCATTAAGAAAAGTACACCAGGCAAATTCACATGACATATATCACAGTATAGTCATGTTTTTCTTTTTAAAGTATTGCCAACTTTGTGTTCTAAGAATGGTTATTACTTGAATATTGTTGTTGCTACATCCTACCTTCTGCACACGTAACACCAGTATAACCAACACGGCATGTGCATGTTGTATGAGATCCATGGTCTGTGCATGTACCACCATTTTCACAAGGGTTAACATCGCAACGAGACTCGGTACCTATTCGAGATTTATATAACAAACAATGATGCTACCCGAGGCCGAGGCGAGCAATTAATTGCTGCTAATATTATTACATTATAGGTCATTTTATTCTTTAAATTGGTAATTGTCAACAGCTACATACTTTCACGCAATTACAGTGGGTATATCTATGTGACACAATTATCACAACAGATTCAAAAAATATACTAGATATACAAGTTAATGTTTTTCGAGAAAATATAAGATTGTACATTTAATGTCATCTGATCAAAACCAAATTGTGCGTCTGAGCAAACTACTAGTACTAGTATTTGACAAATTGGATTTGACTTGTGTTAGTTTCAGTGGGGACAATGCGACAAAAACTTTATTTTAAACTACGAATACGAATGTTAAAACACTGGCACACATTCAGCCCACCAGCCTACTCAATTTCTAGAAAATGTAAACAAATAAATTCTAATCACATAATATTTAGCATGGGATCATTTCATTGGATTATCTCATAACCGCGCTATCAGTTTGTAAGCGGCTATATTAACATTTTATTAGCACTTAGTCTTAGACTAGTACATAGCTGTTGCGAGGGAATCTTTGACGCATCTGAGTGATGCATTGTCTCAATATTTCAAACGCAGTAATCATATCATTCGAGAATTCTTGTATCAGGCACACGGTGTAATTATGATGGTAGAACAAAGACGTTATAAATAGCTAGGTCAACGCCTTGATAAAAGCCAAACACGACAAACGCTAATAATAAATGCTTGGTGATCAGTTACAACGCAATATGTTCAATCTTAGTACATGTGTCAGAGGATAAACACTGACGTAGTTTGAATATTACGAATACATGTATTGCGAATACAACAGTGAGGTCGCCAGCAGGAATTTGGGCCATTGCACATCTTCAGTGATAATAAAAATTCTGCAATGAATCATTTTAGGCTTTTAGCATTACGTAATGATAAAAATATATTAGTGAAAACATAAAATGTTACAATCTAATCAAGGGAAGCTGAACGCCATTTTACACTTTCCATGTAAAGGCAAATGTATTTCAATATATTGTATTCAATATGAAATCTGCAACTACGGGGAGACCACACCACGAGACGGTATTTGTATTATCATATTAAAGTCTATTTACATAGCATAAAGGTTATTTGCATATATATTAAATAGTATGCAAGCAGTAATTGGAATTGACGCGAACATTTTAATTATTATTAATTAATTTTTCTTTATTTAATTGTAAACAAGGGTTTAAGGAAGTTCTGTTTTTTAAATATTTTTTTTGCGAAACTGACAGCCTTGAAATTAGATACTTTAACACCACTTTCATATGTGCTTCATTTCACAGAGTACTGCGGATTTGATTACGTAGATCGATCCTATTTAATGTACCATGGTCCAGTATTCAACTTAATGAGTTCATGCAACTACCATGCGACATACTACTATAAATAGGCCATCGCTACACACATAGGCAGCCATTGTTGTGAGAGAGAAGGGCATCGCGATCTCGGGTTTGTGAAGAAATCACCATGGGATGATTATATTAACGATACGCCAGTCAATGAATTATTTATAAAGATATTAGTGATAATAACATTAAGTTTTATAGAATTTATGTGTCTACTCCAACGAACAATTTACGACTCGATAATTAGACCGCAGCATACATAATTTAACGCTTTAAATTGGCAATTTATCGGGAGGTAGGTATATTTTGTTGCAACCAGTGTAACGCGATGTAAACAGGATGAACGAGGTCAAGCCACCGAGGCGTATAAAATTAATAAGATCGCTTTTGACAACTATACAATTTTAACGGTAATAATAGTATATATAGGTTGCAATAACATTTCAAACTATGCAAATTTGATTATGGGATTTACTTAGATATGCCATCTGTTATTACCATGGCAATGAGTTTGTGGGCTTCATTAACAACGAAAACCAAGAAGTTGATTGTTCCGCATACGATGAAATAGAGCATGCTTTCTATTTCTTGTGCAATTCAGCGTCATTGAGTTGATATCTTAGTTATTGTGGTCATTCTTGTGTTGAATGGCTTTCACATTCTTCTTCTAGACTGGTATATAAATTTCCAGGTCAGGCGTTCGGTTACAGAATGTATCCCCCATAGTCACTAAATATGAGCAAAATAGGTCCGTTCATTGGGGCTGTGTAGCTAACTATTTTGTCATTTGTTGAGTAAATAAAATTCACGGTAAACATTTGAGAGTTGGGAATATTCAAAGTGATCTATGATTAATTATATACACGTTTCACAAGGCGATCATAAAAGCGTTGTGGTTGAAATAGGTCCCCGCGGTGACACCTGTTGAAAACAATATAGAGCAATTGCCTATAACGCGACTGATACTCGAAGCGCGTACGGTACATCGGATTTGGTTTGTAGTGCGTTTCGCTGAACAATGTCAATTATTTCTACAATCTGGCTAACAGATAATTGGAAATAAACTTCAATATACGTGTAGGTTATACCGAAACACACGACACGACACTGTATACGTACTGTTTTAAAATCATGCCTTGTGTCAACACTTCGTATTGGAAGCCATTTTGGTATTATTGACAATTAAAGTGAAAGTTCAACTGAACGGCTGTTACCCACCCACGAAAATTCCGGAAAAAGACTGTCCCGGTTATAGTGATATAAATGTTACGATATTAAAAATAACACATACAATGACGCTGACAACGTACCTTGCGGTGTAACACCGGTCAACAGTGACACGCATACTAATACAAATAATGAACTAAATTCCCGGTACATGATGACTACAAATGTGTGTGAAACAAATCAAATCGTCCACAAACTACGTATGTCTACAACCATAACAGCCAACATGAGATTAATTAGTGTCCACGCCCGATTCTGTGTGACTGTGTACTCAGCCAAGTGAACATACAAACCCGAGCCTCTCCTATTATCACACCTCATTTGCATATAACAGCACAACCGTTTCTGCTTACGGTGGATGCGCATATTACTGTCAATATATATTTTTTCAAGTTGTACGAGTGTTCAGTGAGACCATAATGCGATTAAAACAAAACTTATAAAGTCATTAAAATATTTAATACGAGTTAGACAAATCGAGTAAAGTGATGTTATTCAGCAGTATATTCTGCGCATGCTCATTAAAACGGGCAAAAAGGTGTGTGCTGGTATGAAAAGAAGGTATCATGATACAGCAAAAAGAGGTCATTCGTGTGAATAGTGAAGGCGAGAAATCAAATGATGCTATATACTCCATGAAGTCGTAGTTGATTATTCATGACAATATTGAAATACAATTTTAGGCCCGCTAACTGCTTCCAACGCATCATTTTTCTTATTGAATTCCAACATAATCATAACTTGCTGTTGTTTTCAGTTATATTAAACTGACACTCTTCATGATCTCAGCTTTTAATTGCTGTAAATTATAACCAGTTTATTCGGTTTGATCAGCCCGTTAGCAATGACCCAAGACTTCCCGGGCGAGAATTCTTTGGAATGCACTTTACACACTATATTTGAATAAGCATTGGTACACATAGCCTTCTGTCAATACGATTTGCAAAAGTGTATTCAGCGCTATGTAGCAGGAATAATACAACATCTAATTGTTGTGTTGGTCTGGTTATAACAAGTATGCGGGCAGTCATTGTGGGACAAGGTTGTCAGCTGTGCACCGTTGAATAGGCGTGCAACAACCTGGAAGAAGCAAAGTAACTAAGTAATGGTTTAAACTGTTCAGATGATGTGTACATTTCTATATATTTGGGTAGCATCATTGTTGTTTTCTCGAAAGATACATGCACACAGACCAACGATTATACAATGCATACACCAAGAATCAGTCAGTGCTCTGTTTACTCACCATTAAACTGAATGGTCGGTGACGTCACCTGGACCCAGTACTCATTCTGTGACTTTACAATAGTTGCCCTGTAATCGAAACACGGATGTAGATAAATAACAGAGCATTATAAACATTTCCACGTGCTTACATTACATATGAATTTATTACAATCTCGTTTTATCTGGTCCATTTTCCCTTGTTGGCACTTAATGGCACATTATATGTTTAACTCGCCTCGTCATCTATTTTAAAATAAGTTTTTTGTGTGTGTCCTGCATTAGTTACGTATATATTGTGCGTACTAATAAATATATCAATATTTCCAATATTAATAAAACTGTTGAGTTGAGCTCATTTTATGATCATCATATTTTGACACGTGTATAATCTTGTTTTATTTACACGCGTTTACCAAGCATTTGACATTGTATGTGATATATGTTTTTTTGCTACACATACACCTTTTCCCACTGCCCTACTTAAAATATCAAAACATGGCGATGCAGTTCAAGAGAGAACTAAAAAGTTAAAACAATTTTTAAAAAATATAGAAGCAATTTTAAATTGACCATCTTTTGTATCAAACATAATTACCATGCTTTACTCTATTTCAATAGCCATAAAACCTTACATTCCTCATGCAGACAAATGCCTTGTTGTTTAAAATGTCTGCAACTATGCATTTCTAAAGAGAATCAATTAAGGGGGTCCATTTTGGAGCGTGAATACACGTATCCATGGTTACACTGAATGTCACAGAATTTTCACAGAAAAAACAATTTCCGTAGTGCCCACTTCAATAACAAAGGCAAATTATGATTGAAAAGTGTATAAATAGTTGCATCTTCTCCCTACAATCACTGTTCAATTAAAGTGACCACTCGATAATCCTCACTTAATTTATAATTCCCGCTTGGCAATACGTTTTAACATCGATAACCACTCTCTCCCATCATTCTCTTTAGACCGTGGCAGTGAACATAAGGATTTGTAGTTCAACACACAAATGTACACTTACATGAATTGTATTGAACCAACGTTCGTAGATGGCGCTAGCCACGCGAACACCACAGTATTTGGTTTAGTGTTTGAATTCGAATGAGTGACAGAATCGGCAGTGGTGACACAATCAATCGTCATGGTATCGGTGGGTGGGCTTAACCACGTCCCTATGGGGGTGGAAGACCCTATCACACGAGCTTGTAAGAGTATGCCAGCAAACCCATTTCCACCACTGACAGTCACTGAAACAAAACAAATATTCAAATTGTGAATTAAATAAAATGGGTGTTTATTTGTAATAACTACTTTACATTCGCTGTGGTTGTGTGTGAAAGATCAAATGTCAGTTACACACATCCAACCAACGCAGGTTCCGGACATTCACAACGTATATCACTGCAAACAAATGCATATTAATTTGATTACTTTGCCATATAGGACTTCTCATTCGTTCAATATAATACCATGCGCCGCATTCTTATTGGCCGATCAATACCACATGTAGCACTGTTTTCGGAGGATAACATGTCAGTGCTTGAGGTCAATGCACGAACATAGGAACAAGATTGTGTGTTCGGTTCATCAACATTATTTACCCAAGTGATTTACATTTACTTTCCATTATTGAGCACATTCCTTACACTTAATTTCATTTATTTATTAACACATGACACCCCCCGGAGGGGATGAAAAGGGTTACAAATCAGATATTAGTGTCATGAATTTGTTTTTGCGTATCTGTTGACCGACTTAATTAGTTGATTATTAGCTGAATTGCTGTGTTATGTCTGTCATCGTTTAGGCCTATTTGAAGTTTTGGACGGAACTTGGCTCAGTGATTTGGAACTAATTACGAGATATCCGTCGCGATTCTGACAGTTGGTATCCATAGTTATTAATGTAGTGAACGATTAATCAAAAGATATGACGTATTCAGTACTTAGTGTGATTGGCTTTATGATTGAAGGTTACGCCCTAGAGTCTTTTTACTGCATTGTAATTGGTTAGAGTTTTGAAAATGAATAAAGAGAGTTTGAGTTGGTCTTGGGGAGCACAGCACGATAGACGCGGTCGAGAGACGCAGTAGAGAGAGTGCAGTCCTGGAGAGTCTAGAAGAGGTCCTGGAGAGCCTTGGGGCGAGTGTTGACGCAGTCTAAGAGAGTCTTGGGGACTTTTCCCCAGGGCGCTGTGTCTTATAGAGTGCTCGATTGACCGACTAAGACGAGAGCTGAAACGTATTTCGTTGTGTGTGTCTTATTTGACTGTAAAGTATAAGTGACTTCCCCGATCCCGTACCTCAAGGGGACGCGATAGAGAGACGAGACGAGATTCCCCCCTGACAAGTGTGGAGAACCCCCGGAGAGAAGAATTTCCCCCTGATATTAGTAAAAAAAATAACTACATGAAATATAAAGCATAAAGAAAAAAAAGATAAATTTGTATACAAGGAATGTGTTACTGGCTTAGTTTGTGTAGGTGCTGCTGTCTTGTATTAAAACAGTTTTTTAAATATTGCGCTAAAAGAATTGACAGTTTCTCGTTACTTAGTAATGGTGTGAATTTATTTTCATTACTAAATTTGTCAAAATTTGTGTATACATTTAGCTACAATGTAAAGTTTTGACCTTATTTCGTTGTAACGAGTACAATTTAAGTCAAAATGTTGTTCATCTTCAACATCTTTAGCCTTGTGTTTAAAATACTTTACAAAATTTTAAAAAATTACCTAAACAACTTGAAAGTAGAAGGGTGTAATTTTGATCCAGATTTGTGCAAAGGTACAATAAGACTAGTATTTCAAAAATCATGGAATTTGCCAGACTTGAACACTATGATAAAGTTTCTGAAGTGCGTCTCTCAGGTAATAAATGTCTTTTGCTGATGACTTTTTATTTTTTATTAGGCTAATTGCTATTTTAATTTCATTAATTTCATCATTCAAAGATTCTGTATGGACTGCATCCACATTTTTCTCTAACATTTCTAAATGTGTTTTCATATTAGGGTGAACAGGGTTGTTTTTATTTTTTTAATTTCCCGACCTTGCCCTGTTATCCCGCAATGGACAGTGCGTCTTCATTTATTATGCATAACCGTATTACATTATTTTATCGTGACGTTCAATTATAGTTGCAGTACAATTAATAATTATAGATACCCAGTTTGACTTGTGACCTGTGTGTTATTGTACTCAGTTTGACCTTGTGACCTGCGTGTTATTGTACTCAGTTTGACCTTGTGACCCGAGTGTTATTGTACTCAGTTTGACTTGTGGCCCGAGTGTTATTGTACTTAGTTTGACCTTGTAGAAAGTGTATGGTTTAACCTATTTAAATTAGTTCCATGTCACGTCATACATTTACATACGATTTGTGTACAAATAAGCTGACATGTCTGTGGTCTGTTTCGTTACACAAATGAATTGTACCAATAATACATATTGTATGCGTCGATGTATTTTATTGTGATAGACTTATAACGCAAGTAAACATAGTAAATATTCCCGTACGATACACTTTTCTGTGCGCGTAAAATTATAGCTAATGAATAAAAAATGAAATCGAAATCACAGAATAAAAAGGTCGTTGTAGAGGGATGGGCGTATCGGGAATGTGTGACATCTGTGCTTATCGCATTGTGGTTGCGCAATGAAGCCAGGAATATCAACCATTTCTATAAATAAGGTACATCAGGTGATATCTTTTTTATCACATGAACAATTCCAAGTGTCGAGATTTTACGGAACTACGCTTCATGTGCCAATTTTGCTGACGTGAACACACATTTGAAGTTACGGCCGCCGACGATTTTTGAAATAGGCAGAAATATTAAAAACTCTCCTTAACGATAATTTTATTTCAAAAATAACTCCAAGTCGTCATAAATTCTTATCACTGCACCAAGCGAGAATTTTTTTGTCTGAAATTATGATATCGCAACGATAAATACGCTATCATCGCACGATTTGTTCGTAGTGTTCGACTACACACACATATATGGCGTTTAGCGAGCTTATTTAGAGGTCATGTGATAAATCTGTTTATCGGTGAACGTTTCCTTCACGGTTCCATAGTGAGGCTGCTGTTTCCCTAAAACGACAATTCACTAGGGGTGATTTTGTTAATTGCAAATGATTAGTAGTAATATTACTAATTCATATAAGAAACTAATTGGAGTTCAAATCATAAATCGTGCTCTGTACACTATAAATTGCCCTGAGATACAGATACATTATGACTTTGTAAAAATGAAAAGAGGTAAATAGTAAATTAAAATGGCATTACGCTGTGTTAAATATGCCGAAGTTAAAAGCTTTGGGAAAGACTAAACAAAACTAAATTAAACTGATGATATTGAAGGCATAGCAATTAAAATAGGGAAACATTTAAATCTATGTTAGGCTTTCAAACATAAATCGTGTTGGCCAATGCAGTTCTGCTATAGTGCACAATGTGAAAGCAATCTGACCCGAAGTATTGAAGTTTATAATACTAGTGACAGAAAATTCTAGAATTATTAGGAAAAAAGAAGATTTGATTGTACATCTGCAGTCTAATTTGTTTACCCAATTAAAAAGTTGCCTAAGTGATGAAAAGTAGGCAATTCATAAGAGAGTTTCGTTGAAATGAGAAGCGGTTTTTGAAATATCGGAAGTAGCCTAATTTACGCACATTTGTTATTTATTATGCAAGGATTTCAACCCTAAAGTAATCGGGTCTTGTGCACCATGAAATCTCGTGAGTGATACCTATGGAACAGCTACAAAGTGTCTAATCCATGTAAATTAGATGATTATTATGCGCGGAATTAACCCACATGTATATTTTATATTAGCAACGATGTACAATTATGTTTCACTGAAATCTGTTACGCGGTGGGACGGCTTAAATTTGTCTGAACTGGGTAATTAATATGCACGGATTATGATCCTTAACTAATCGAGAGAGTGGATTACCGATGGCCCTAGTTTCATGAGTATTAGTATGCACAGATTGTGCATTTCTCAGAGCATCAGCGTATCAAGTATTGTTGGAATTTTCTAAGTGGTTCTTAAGATACCGAAACGTTGCCTTGTTTATGTAAATTAATCATTTATTATGCAGGGATTTCAACCGTGAACTAATCTCATTTTGATACCTGTGGCAGAGCTTAAAATTGTCTATTATGTAAATCAAGTAATTAATATTATTGTAAGTACAGGTAATCAGGAATGTGTAATATCGAAGAGCATCTATGTAGCAAGTTTCATTGAAATCCGATGAGCGGTTTTCGAGATACCAGTGGAACAGACTTGCACATACACAGGGCCACCATACACGTACATACAGGACAACTGTAAAAAAGACTTCCCATTGTGTGCTTTGCACACAGCAGTCTCAAATAAATGCGTACAATTCGTAAATACATTGTATGATATATTGCTTGTACGCTGCTTGCGGCAAATTTAATTTCACTTTTCGTCTATTTATAAAAAATGAATAATTAGTGGGAGAGGGTTTCATGACCTTGTATGAGTCACCGATTACTACGCCTGTATGCAAATAATTTTATTACACAACTGTTTACACTGCAGAGACTTTTCTCCAACTACGTGAACTGGGCTTAGAAAACAACCCCGTGATTTTTGTCGAATGATGAATACAGTCACGTATTTTTGCAATTAGTGAATTGTGTATTGTTAGTTGGTGTGTACGACAGGCCTAACGTACATGTAACGTGTCCAGGCTACCCACTGCATTCATGACTTGTTTGGGGCGAGGACGATTATATCACTGTGATTATACAACAAGTTTCCGATGTCATAATTTTATTTTAAAACAACTAAGGTAAATTCGGAACTATGAGAAAAAATCTATAGAAATGAATGTACTACAGACATCAAATTAACTGTGTACTTGAACTCCACATTCTTATACCGGTAATTCTAGATTTGAACAACGAAATGGTTTCGAGCTGACTTGTTATTGTTCTTACTAGGTGTGGTTCCGTCACACACAGACTATTTGCAAACAACCAGAAACATATTAATTTTATATTTATAAATGTCACTACCACGACACCATCAAATTAGTCATCCCGGTAATCAAGCGTTTTTACAGCGTACATGGACATTATTTCGACTCGATAATGACACTACCCGACAGGCTTCGTAAGGGAAGTAACGTTGTTGTAAATAAAACATTTTGTGGGGGGTAAAAAGCACTGGTGTTTTATAACCCACACTAAAGACCCTCCAGTATATGCCCACACACGTATTGTGCAAGTGTTAAAACCAATGGACATAGTGTCAGTTTGTGCGACAGACGGGAACACCATGACCCTTCAGTCGGGCCTTAGTTTCCTGTTCAACTTTCACTTTTCTATATACACAATGAAATGTGGTACTAGTATTTCTACTCGTGTGATCTACAATTATTACAATTGGTAATAAACCACATTTAATGGTGAATAAATAAAGTGCATTTCACATATGCTTAGAATTATATTAACAAAAATGAGACGAGACGCGCCCTTGACTCCTGTGAAATAATAGTACGATGCGTATTAGAACTCACCGAATACGACATCCCCGTTGTAGGTTACCTCGTTAGAGCTCACAGTGTAAGGACTCTGCGTAGTCTGGGGCCCCACTGGGTGCCCTGGCATCATGGACTCACATACTGAGGTCGGTGCACCGGTAGGATAACTGATAACATGATGTATATAACACAACAAAACGACATATAATCCTTTCCACAGCGCTGCAGAGACAGACGCCATCTTTGATGTGTACCTTTTGTAACAGAGTCAACCACCGATTGAATACTCTAGCTTCGTTCAGCGTTCAGGGATAGTCCATTCAACTTAAAGGGTGGGATATATCAGATGACCATGCTAGGGCCGAATAGATGTATTATTTCGATGAAAAATCGAAGGGATGTAGCGATACTTGTAATTTATTGCTGAAATGAAATAAATCACTTAAATCGCTGATGCAAACGCTATCGTTCTCGTTTATTTCACGAAACCCACCCTCGTACGATGTGTACAAGCCACCAACGCGAGCCCCAATGGCTCGGGGAACGCCCTAAATAATGGCACATTCGCAAGCCGCGAACAATGGGTGTCAGCGTACTGGTAAAGTCTAAAACTTTCATTAATATGCTAATTAGGTAGCAATTGTGAAGAACGGAATGTAGCATTTCAAAAGAATAAAAATGAGACAGTCGTGGCAGGATCATCAATATGGTAACATTGCGAAAGGAATGGAACTCGGCACGGTTCGACTTTTCAATATATTGGATGAAATCAATCACAGATTTAAAGTAAATAAATAATAACAGAAATTCAAAGGAAACGCACAAATATCAATTTATGCGTTTCAATATATTCCAAACTTTCATTTTATTTTACATTATCAGATTTTCAGATAACATGTAGAACAATTACGTCAGGATATATGTGAAAAAAGAAAGTAGGCCGAGTTGGATTATTTAATTTGGTGCATGGTCGTATAGACATTTGTATGTCTCTATGATAATTACATCTATTAATAACAGTCAGTCAGTGCACCGTCCCTCAACACCTAGGGACGGTGGTCAGTGTTACCACAAACTTCCTCATTAAAACATGTGAGTTTTACTTCTCGTTTTGTCTCCATTCTCCGTCGCATACATGCAAACTATTTAAAACGAATTTGGAACCTGAATGTTTTCCCCCAATAGACACGAAGCCTCCTTTGCGACTCCCTGACTTCTAAATTTAGAATCTCTGCTCACACAGTGCTCATTGGTCAGTTGTCGTTATCTTGTCAGGTATATATTGACCCCACAAACTAGAGTCGGGTCGAGGCGGTGGGTCGAGATGTCCAATTTGGGTCGAAGTGTTTTGGGTCGAGATGTCTAGATATCATCACTGGCCACGCAGAACCAATGACTCACGATGCAAAGCTGTATTTCGTGCAGGATCATCCAAAAGTTCAACCAGACAGTTGCCATGTCTATAACCGAAAGATACCGTCGAAAATGCAACATTTTCAATTCTACGTTAAAAAAAAAAATATTTATCACATTTAAACAATAACTGACATTATTAAGTTTGGAAGAAAATCGGAAGATGGGTGTTTGGCACTTAGATCGGACTAAATAAAATTCACAGTCGATTCGTCCCAATTCACATTCGTCTCACAAGTCGATTCGTCCCATTGCCTTTGCTTAGCCTTACAATCTAGTGCATGCATGGTGACTTCCTTTATATATTGGTAACAAGACAATCGTGCTTGATGCATATAAAATACAGCCGAAAAGCGCAACATGACCTTACAACATTATTTACAGGGTTTCCCGATATTCAGTAAATAAAATAAATTTATATCATGATTACCATTTTTTCAGAATATTAATTACAGGTAATTACACTATAATCTTGAAATATAAATAACTTGACTTGACGTCAGTTGGCGTATTGCAAAGTGTGATGCAATAAACGATAATAGAAGGGCCGGATTGGACGAAACGACCTTGGAACGGATACAATTTAGGGACGAAACAACTTTGGAACGACTTGGGACGAATAAACCAGTGGAACCATGGTGGAACGAATCGACCTAGGACGAATGTGATTCCACGGTTACTAACCGTGGTGATTCCAACGATACGGCTCACTGTCAACCTACGATCTACACCCCATCCCAGCGTCGAACACTTATAATGGGTGAAGGCAACATCGTTCAAAGCGTTACGATTGTTTTTGGTTGCGCAGTGTTTCGCTGTAACCGGAGTACGTCACGGAGACACGTTGTCGATAGAGGGCGCGACTGACAAGAACGATGATAGTGAAAATAGGCTGCAAACAATCAACCACAATCTGTCAACCAAGTTACCGTGTTCACTGACCCATGAAATAGATCATCAACCCCTATGCTCTGTACTTACCTCGCTCGTTGGTAGTTTATTGAACCCACCGGGGTCACCGCGCCCACAATTGTACGTATAGCCGGGGGTTACTCTGCTTTACACTAACGGGGAGGTGCCGCATTCGGGGATCCATAATGGAAGTGCTGGTCGCTCTGAATATTCATGAGATAATAATGAATATTAATGAGCTTGGCCACGTAGGCAAATGTTTGTTTTTATTCAAGTCAAAATATTATTTGTTTAGTTTTCAGGTATGAAAGAAGGCATTTTACAACTACATATATATTTTCGAAAGATGATAAAACAATCTCACTGTTCATTTATTTTTTATTTAAAGGGCGGTGCTCGTCGCGCAGCACGTGTTCAAAAATTCATGTAAACAAACAATGTACTAGTATTTTACACGCGTTGTGTACGTCACATATCGAACACGACGCGGCGCGACGACCACCACCCTTTAATAAACGTAGTACCCAGAAATTCGTCTGTAAGATATGAGTAAGCCACGATATCCGAGTAAATTTCACAGTCAAAATTGGACAAGAAATAAAACATGAATTTAAATTGCTATTGAAATATAAAAAAAGATTCGAAACATTTCCAAAATGCAGGCTAAATCTTGCGACAATTTTATTATTGTGGCAATGTCTATTTGGAAGGGGCAAATAAAACACAATTAAAAGAAAGATGTTCACTAGTTTCACTACCTTATTAACCACAAAAATGACCACGTAATAAATTACGAGGTTATAACAATATTGCCTCAGTCATAGTGCCATGCAAAAATGTTACTTCTTTAGATTGATATTGAATATGAGTATAATATGACTTAGTTTTACCACGAGCAAATATTTTTGATCACTCGATCGATTCTGTAAAAATAAATTCGCCGTGATGTTTGTGACGTATTCAGTTGATTGTTGTGGTATTTACTTTCATGTATATATTAGGTCCGGGGTTAGCACAACGTTCTGTATTTTTATGTAGTCGTGATGATTGGGTCCAAAACCATAGATAACTCGCTCGAATCACAAGAAAATTAACTGGTCAATAAATCGCGAATCATAGTGTGAAAACCAGTTACCCACATTGGTAGCCAGGATCGGACTGGTAACTTGACATCCCAGTCTTAACCAAGAAGTTCAACGCTCTTGATTTTTAGTACAATAAAAGTGGTAGTTTGACAGTTCATGGTCAAGAGTTTCATACCTGTCGACATGGTTGAAAATACCCACCTAAATCTGCCAATCTGTTTTCAAAGTTTTCATGTTTTACTTCATTTCCGTGGCACAAACGGAGTGGCCGCAAGACGAGTCAACCGTTAATACCACGAAGTGCTTTCATTTGTTCATACTTTCGTCATCTGGAAAATCGACAAGACGGTCAGCTTGGTCACAGTCCCTCTAGAACATCTAAATTTATCCGCGGTAAAATTATTTTATTTTGTAAATTGTAACTATTTCACCCTTTTCAGTACGTCTGAAACAAATCACTATCAGCTAGCATAACAGTATGAATAAACCAGCGCGAGAGCCCTCTAATAACGAAAACACACCAAGAATACGTGCAGTAAACTGGCGGTGTGTCTGTATGACAGATATTTTCGGTGCTATAGCCGCAAGGGGCTCTGTGGTGAAGAATGTACCCTTCTCCTTGGGTAGGGGTATACATAGTATTCCGGGGTGTACTGTTACGATGCAAACATATCCGCTTGGGAGAAAACATACACTCGTGGTTCCTCAGCTCAACGTTGGTGATGAACAAAATCGTTTTCGTGACATCGCCGCCAGTCGTTGCAACTTTATAATTCTTTTTTTTTTCTTAATCTTGGTCCGACGCGAAATTACAAAGAACGGTCTATTCTGATTCGCAAGCATAACAGACATGGAATGTGACGTGGACTCCATATAATTTTGATTTCGTCTTTCATTTCAAAATTTTATTTTTGAAAATTAAATGCACAACTTCGGGGTTACTTACATCCAATTTATCAAATGAAATTACGTCAAAAATCAAATTGTTAGATTCCAGAAAATATTAGATATTCATTTGGCTGTCGTTAGCCACGGATCCGATGTTTTTATATTTTCGTCACTTGAATAAATAACCAATTTACTTTTCAAATGGTGAAAGTGTGAGTATTAGTATACGATATGCGTTTAGACATGCGAGTCTGAATTTAATATTCTTGTAAACAATTACAATAATATTTCAATGAACCACACACTGAAGCCATTTGATTCTACTCTGCCGCCCTCTAGTGGGAATAATTTAAAATCTTTCCTTTCAGTTCTGAGGTGAAAAGATAAACATGGCGGACGAAGAAGCGGAGGAACTGGCGAGTCTGGTAAGATTTCCAAGTGCCTTGCATAGCGTTGATCACGCCGTGTAATTTATTTCTGTCTAATACACCCAGAATGAAGGGATTCATATCGGTGGGTTCAACGTGCCAGCTGTGTAGTGTACAAACGACGAGAACTCTATCTAACCGTCGATCATTATACAAGGGTCGATCTCATCGCCAAGAGGACGTTGCTGTCCACGGTTGCTATTGCACACGAATACATGTTTCATTCATTGAACGATTTAAAACGGATTGAATAAGAAGAAATCCCACAAAAACATCGTTCCAAATACGTTGATCGAAATTCGTGTTAGAGTGAAGTTTCTGCCAGTATACCGATCGTCAAAATATGATCGTGTATATATGAGTCCACGGACTCTCGAAGTAATGCTCTGTTTACAAATTGTACGTTTATGGGCCTCAAATGAGCTGTAATTTGGATTCTCAGTTCATTTTCAACAACACAGCTCAACTGTCTGAAGGTCTTATGTAATTGTTTACTATATTATTGTTTATTATTACTTTTGGTTAAATTTACATGTAAGGGTAAACAAAGCCAGACAAATCTAGTAAACATCCTTCTTTGGTGCTGTCCAAGGGATTGAACAAATTGTTATTCTAGGTGGAGAAATGTCTTTTCTTTATTATAAAATGGAATTTATTGGAAAAATGTATACCACTGTTTAAATCGAGCAATTCGCAATTGACATCAGTAAGCAATACCACTATATGTATGTAACATGATTATAATACTCTTACAAACAGACTCAATAAGTAAGTAAATTGAAATTGTAGTCTTATTCATCTTTTCCTGATTCAAAAGAACATAACTGGGGCTTGCTGTTTGTTTCCATTACCTCCAATCTTCTACATATGGACAGTGCATAATAGTATATTCGTTAAAGACCCAATTCAGTTGCCTGGGCGATTGTTTATTGGAGGTGTGGCTAATGAGTGTCATAGTCTATTTACAAGATGATAACACTAATCTCCAGAAGCATCAATAGTGGCGTTCACGTTAGGGATCTTGCAAGTGCCGAGGCTCTGGGCAGAGTTGGTATGTGCCGAAACTTATGTGAATGGTCGGGATGGAGTCAGCACGTGCCGGAAAAAAAATCGATCTCCGTCCCGAAAGATGCTTGGGACAGAAACTCTGCACATGCCGAGATTTGCTGCCTGAACGCTCGACACGACCCAAAATTACATCCCCATATGCTGAATCATATTAGTATGGAATGAGCATGACAGGAAATGCAGATATACTAGTATATAATTGGATGCTGTAGTAATGAATGAAATGAATGGAAACCGACGTCAGCGATGCATATTTATGTGCTGCTCCAACCGCTATTTTCTTGCAATGCTAAATTGACGTGAAAAAATAATTGTTTTTCGAATCTTCTTTGCTGTTCATGTGCATGATGACTCGTAATAAATACCATACATGTAGCAGCAAATGAATATAATTTCACTATAGCAATTATTATTATCATCATATGCGTATCAATTTTCATGTTTGGGTCAAATAATAGATCAACGAATGAGGGTGTGATTTTGGCACGAGCCGAGTCGGCCATAAGTAGGTTCTGAATAGCGTGAATGCAACTGCTGTAATCCCTCTGCAAACACAAAGGATTAAAAATTTGGCACGTGCCGAGACCCTGTAACATGAACGTAGTAATGTATAGAGGAATCTTGTCAGGTTCATTTCCACAGAGCATGGATGGACCTATGCTACACCAGGTTACTAATAACCATAGCTACGTAGGCACATCCCAATGACAAAGCTTGGTGAATTTATGCGATCGGATGTCAATGAGATCCCAAGCCCAGTTGATAAGTTGCAAAGTTTTATTTTTCAATGGATTGATTTGTGCATATCAGCCCGTGCATATGCTTCACGTTTTCTTAAACATAGTAGACAAAAGTAGGAAACATTAAAAATGCCATAGCTCACTCAAAAAGTGCCTAGCTTAAACAGAAACATCAGCACTACAAAGGTAAAAGCTCACAGATTTAATTTCCAGTTAGATTCCAACTTATTCGGCTGTGTGTTTAGCACTGAATTGAAAAAAACACAAGTCTATGTGATACTATGAGGTTATTACGAGGATACCTCAAAGTATGCAAAAAGACAGTACAGCGAGAGTATCGACTGACGTGCAGCGGAAGTCGATGCAACTGTGTGCTGTCTGAGTGCATACTTTGAGGAATCCTCGTAATAAGCTTATCATTATACATCTTTTCCTTCCAAGGATAAATCATGGAAATGTCAAAATCCAAAATGTTTAGAATAGATTCATCTAACTTCTTTGTGTGGAGTCCGGTCAAACCCTGGTGGCAACCATGTTTGTTTTTTCATTATTAGAGGACGCTTGCACGCGTAAATTCCATATTTAGAATTCACAATTCCTAATATGGTAGAATGAAATTACCCTGTTAAATACCACAAAATTACGGCACGCTGTAACTTATGGCGTTACAGTGACAGATGCATATTAATAATAATAATATTTGAAACCGTATCCCAGAGTGGGATCTTATTATATCTGCCCCTTTCGATTTGAATGGGTATGAGCACTTATTGTGAGTTTTGTCATAGCAGCACTATGATTTGGATTTTTGATTGTGGTGAGATATTTTTCATATGCAAATTCTGTTTTAATTTTCCTATAGGTCCGTAACTCGTTTTTATGGTTTGTAATGTTTCTGTGCTATGTATTTCAAAGGATTGGTCTAGTTTAAGCATTACTGTTTCAATGACATATCGTACATAGTACACCTCCATTCAGCACAGACATCCTCCAAAATCTCTTGTGTGCCTGCAGACAGGAATCCTCAAATGACAGACATATCAGACAGTACACCTCCATTCAGCACTGATACCTACCAAAATCTCTTGTGTGCCTGTGAGCAGAAATCCTCAAATGACAGACATATCAGATAGTAAACCTCCATTCAGCACAGATACCTACCAAAATCTCTTGTGTGCCCGCAGACAGGAATTCTCAAATGACAGACATATATCAGATAGTTACATTTTGTACATCTCCATTCAGTAAAGGTACCAAAAAAAGTCTCAAAAACAAATGTGTAAACTCAAATGCTTATGATTATTTTTCTCTTCTAACAGAGAGAGGAGTTTCAATGGGTTTTGAAATATGAAGTGCACTCTGTTCTTAAACATCTGAGGGAAGTTCTACAGGTAATTTGATTGGTTTATCTATTCTCTGGCTACATGACAATTTTTGGATTGCATTGTTGTATCTCAAACAACATTTTGTGATTTGTATGTAATTTATTTTTGCAATGATTCATTTTAGTGAATTTGTTATTTTGTATGAAGTCAGCAGAACTATAATTTTAGTGCCAAAAACGTTGTTGTAAAAATATACTTAGTTACATCTTGAATTTATGTAAACTACATTCTAAGATATTCAATGCTTAAGATAGATCAATATCTTCCTAATGTCATCTGAGCAGATGCTGTTTTGTGTTCAGTGTTTTGGACATTTACATTTCACCAAACATTTTGGTAACTGTAAAATATTGTTCAACAATTAAACTATAATAACAATGATAAATAACTAAAGAAAATCTCTCTGCAAAAGCCAAACCTTTCTAGTGTGCTACATATTGCTATGCTCCAAAAAACTGCTTGATTGAAAACGAATTTGTTTGCATGTATCTGTGCCCAATCAATTGAATTACTTTTCTTGGAACTTGTTTGAAAATTTGAGAGTGACACATCATCTCTTGCTCTGAAATGAACTGTTCTGAAGTGTTCTATGGATTATTTATCTATAATTAGATATGACATTTTAACTAAAAAAGTCACATATTTTATTATTACTAATTTGTGAATTTTCATGTTTTATAATTATGCGAATGTGAGTACGACAAAACATCAAAAAATTTTTGTTAATTAACTGTTAATAAATGTTTATTACTTGTTAATTGGAATACTATTTTTTAATCAGGAATGTTCCAAGAGATTTCTTCTGCGTTCTTCAGGTAAGTCATATGTAATTTTGTCTGTGTCATACTAGAGAGAACAAAGCCAACAAATTTCAAGATTGGTTTTTGGTCCATGATTCATAAAATTTTTCTTACTCAGCATACTTGAGGAATAAATTACAGAATACTATGCTGTACTTTTAATTTATTTTCATGCAGAGGATAAATCTATGAAATCTAGTGGGAATATATTCCCCTCTAGCTTCTGTAGCTATTGTTTCCATTTTGTTTAAAAAACATAGCAAGTCAAAACAAAGTACTGTAGTCAGGATTCTAATTTGAAAACAAGTGTAACAAATTTCCAGGTTTTTTTTTTTAGTTCAACTGTTGAGAAAATGTCAGTGACCTTACCATAAGTACATCTTGTTTATGCACATGCTGCAAACTCTTTTCTTTTCAACTTTTGTTGATGAGATTCTCAGTCATATACTTTGCTGAGTAAACAGTGTCACATGACATGTGTTCTCTTAAATTTATATTTTCACAATGTCACAGATGTAGAGTAATTAGTAAAAAATGACTGATAAAAAAGCAATGAATTATTGGAATTTCTCTGTATGTTGGAATTTTTATTATGCATGTGAAATAGAACTTTAGATGCCTGAAATTTGATCAGACAGCTGACATTATTAATAATAATATATTAATTCATTTTTTCTTCTGATATGCAACAAAATTACTTAGAGCTTGTACCAAATTGAGTTTTTAACGTGTGAAAGAGTTTTTTGTGAAGCCATATAATTACAAAAATACATATAGTTGTTTATTTATAGATTAAATAAAAAATGAGGGTATCTGCAAATAAAGTATAATTGTTTATTATTTTTTAATGTAATATATTGTCTTATAAATTGTATACTGTAGTCTATGTGATCAACAACTACAATATACACATATACTATAATAATAATAGAGTGTTATTACATCGTAATGAATAACAAATTCACTTTTGGCTGAACGTAATGAAAGTAAAGATAACAAGTAAAAACAGAATGGTAAAATTTAAATAAATATTTAATGCATTTTGTGTTTTTCAAAACACACTTTCTGATATCGTGTCATGTATCTAATTAGTTTAGGATGGTTAGTATAATAAAGATAATCTTAATAATCTTATTGATATTGTTTTCAGACTGGATAGGGGAGGGGGGATTTCTTTGTTAAATTCAGCATACATCAGTGTAATAGCTAGTCTCTAATAAAATGAACTTCATCTTCAATACTGTCACTCCTACACATGTCACAAATCCTATCGTCACTACGTTACCCAGAATTACAGGAATTTTAGGTCTACAACACGTTGTAATCGACCGACGATCTGTAATTTTTCCTTCACACAAGGTGCATGTATTTGTATCGGCACAAATTCTGTATCTCTGACGAATCAAATACAACAAAGTGATTTGGTTATATTGAGTATGATATGCATCTTTATCATATACCTCGTATTGCCCGGCCTCGTAACGCTATGGGAATCCCGATGCGCGAGCCGTGCAATAATTTTCCATATCACGCCCGGGCCCCGTTTACCATATTTGGTAAATGCGTCTATTTCCTGGAACTACTTTCTGTTTATAAACAAAGCGCGTAATTTGCGTCTGCGCTTTGACAATGGCTGACGATATTATTCTGTGGATGGAAAATATACCAAAAACACCAGTTGGACTCATTATTACCCTGACGAAAGCCGGCATTCCACCACAACCAATCATAAATATAACTGGTCACAAAAACGTGTCAAGTTTACAGCACTACGATACTCACATTCAGCTGG